GCAGTGACATGCAGTGAGTGACATGTCGCACAGGGTTGTAGCAAACAACCCGAGGAGGTGGAACTGACCTGCAGATCAAATTGACCTGCAGGAAAGCAAAGAATGGAAAGACACGTCGTTTTAGACAGAAGGGTGAGTTGCACATTGAGCCAATCATTCCGGTGTCCATCAGAGATCAGCGACTGAGGTCCTGTTGCAGGTGGATCTGGCGGAATACGTTTGAGGCGGTCCAGCCAGCGACGCAAAAGATCAATAGAAATCCCATAGATTCCTAGAGATCCCAGTCTAGAAACTACAAGAGACCGCCCCAGGAAGGCAGTTAGACATCGCTACCCATGCTTAGACCCGCCTGCGTGAAACACGGAGGTGTTTGGAGCCCCTCCGGGGCCAGGGGCCAGCGGCGTGCCGATGGTGCATCGAGCTTGCAGAAGGCAAAGGCATTGGCCAGGTGAGGAACAATGGCCTGATCAAACCTTTAGCTCAAAGACCTTAACGCTACCTAGCAGTACTTCAAGCTGACACCTGGGGAGTGTTCGGCGTTCGTTTTTCAGTCAAAATTCATGTGGCAAAAATGGTCACAATGCCTTCAGCAGACTTCAGCACGGCAAATATCCAGCATATTTGAATTTAAGACCTGTTAAGACACAATAATTGACATCCAAACCTTCAATCCCAAGATCTCGTTCCTCATCCAACTTCTTTGGCTGCACAAGTCGCTATGCGACACCGGAGAAACCAGATGCTCAATGTACAGGCAGGTTCAGCCAGCCCGAGCCAACCGAAAACCGACAACCGCGGAAAACCGGCCGACATGTTGGAGCAGTTGGGCATTTTCAGCGATGGCTCCCTTGCTGCAATCGATTGTTCGTAAACAAGGGTAAGCCAATTGCAAGCCAGCGAATCAAGAGACCACTATAGTTACGGTAGTTATCTAGCTGAAGCTCGAACAAATACCTTTGCCACGAGCAGAGTGTCACTTAGTTTATTTGAGCAGCTATCAAAATCTGTCCTTATGTATAGCATAAAGGAGCTCATTTGTAGAACATTTACTTCTTTTGGCGAGATTTTCCGCCATCGAGCTGGGATTGTTTTGAGAACACCCAATCACTCCATGTAAAGACCACCGATATCGAAGTCCGGGAATCGGAGGGCTTCCGAAGACGCCCGAATTTCCGCCTAAAAACCAAGGCGTAGCATTCGGGCTCAAAAAGAAGCTACGATGCCACTCGAGCTGTTGTCGCGGAGTGGCAGTGCCACATGGCAGGCCACCATTGAGCGCGACGCTTGGAGCAAGTAGCTGACCATGAAATTGGATGAATGACACGAGCATGAAAACCGTTCCTGACCATGTTCTAAGGCTTATATTTGGAGCAGTGTGTTGCATGATTGTCCTGTACTCTAAAATGATGATACCTGTAGAAGGTTCTGAACTACATGGTGTTTGCTCCACTTCTTACCAACGGAGCTTTTGATGAGGTTCTGACAATCACTCACGTACCTTCATTCAGGTGCATTGCATTTGTTTGCATGTTTAAGGCGATAGGTTTCGCATGGTTTTGCAACTAGTGGCTAGTGGTTGCTGAAGTTGGTCTAGCCGGTGCGTTCAAGACGTCCTGGAATTGGCTACACCCCAAAAAACAGCCTGTAGCACAGTGATAACCGCTTCGACGGCCAGGAAAGATCAGCTCGTTTGCAGCTGCGAAATGCCTGCAGACCGTTGCCTACCTTAAGCCACCTAGATGAACCCCCTCCACGTGAGCCGTCCCTTTCATGTGCGAGGCCTCAAACAGATTCCTGGCATCGAATTTTACATGCGCGCCCAGGGCAGAAATGGGCGTGCATTCAAGCAGGGAGGCCTCCCAAAGACCTTTGGGAAGAAGAACCATGCACTAAACAGCTTGTGCAGTAGTTGGAGGACCTCCCTATTCGGTAGCCTATATAAGTCTTGGGCCACATGGTTGGTTGAGCTATGTTGAGCTTATATAATGGATCGACATGAAATTAAGTTCCTAATTACCAACTGTTTCTATTCATTGCGGTGATATGTTGTGATGTCTTGGAGTGTCCTTATTATGTACCTTATGCAAACCATTCTTGTTTCCATAGCTGGATGTGGGACACATGATGCAATGATGACTGAAGCCATTTGCACGGTCAATGAACTGTCTAATCCCTTGTTTGCTGTGTGACCATCCGAGGTCATGTGATGGAGTTTGCCGCACAAAGGCATGCACAAGGTATATCATGCATATCGAACATCATCGAACTCATATTGTCCCAAATCCAAACCAGTGAACAACTCCAATCGACATTCCCCTAGAGACTGGAGGAGGATTTGTTTAAAGCTTTCGAACGGGCCATGCAGGTTCATAACGAGGGTCACCCATGTGTTGTTTTTTTTCCAGTGGCGACCTCAGGAAGGCTCACGCGTCCGCTTGCCTCTATCAGCAAGCATGGCTTGCATGGGCTTGACTCATGGAGAGGTGACGATGTGGGCGGGGAAAAGCTTGCAGCAGAATCCACAGATGGCAGCGCACGTGTTCTCTCCCAAATGGGACATGTTACCTCGAGGCGCGGAGCTTTGTTGCGGACGAATGGATGTTTGTGGTTTTTGAACTTGCATGGAATCAGCGTCTACCAACAAGGGGTGAACTCCACTTCCATGTTAGAGAGTCAGAGGGCAATACTCCCCGGCCATCTTCTCCGAATCAGCGTTTCCACCCTCTACGTCGACTTGTTTCTCTTTCTCGATGACAGCCTCAGGTGCAACCACCACGCTAACTTCTTTTGCCAACTTGAGAAGTGAGCCGGCCGAGCTTGTAAAGACTTCTCCGAAGGTCAAAAGGCAATTCTCGCTGCCAAACCATATGGTCTCTTACCCTGAGACAGGGCAATGGTTACTCTGAGGCGTTAAGCGCCAACAGAGAGCGGAGACAAGAGATGCGTTCAGCGCAGAAAGATGGGGAGATTCAGCGGCAGCAATGTTTTTGATGTTTGCAGAATGTTGTGGCTGGGTATTGTGAAACACTGCCAGGTAGCATGGCTGAAGAGTTGCATCCCTGCTGCGCGCTGCGCTTGTTATTGCCCGATTTGTTGCTCTTCAAGTTTATTGCTGTGCTCGTCAATTGTTGGTGATGTTCATTTTCTTGGTTGCTTTATGACTATATTGTTGCTGCTGTTGTGTTCTTGTCCGATGGCACCTATGCACAAGGCAAGGGGTGCCACGAGACCAAGACAAGGCTTGCCACTCAGGTGTGACATGCTGCGGACTTGCAAATGCTGCCATGTCGGCTTGCTTATATACATATTCGGAATTTGTGTTTAGCTTAATCCAGCTAAAGCAAAAGCGCACTCGGACGGAAACATGTGGCTTGCTTTGGCGCATCCCGCCCTCAAATCAGTCTTCTGGTTCGGATGCCGCAGCAAGATGCACGTTCGGATGCCCGTCAGGTCGCGTTGTATGTGTCACGCGTGTGCCACGTCTCAGTGAAGAGTGCCCCTGGAATCTCCATGCCAGATCTACTGTCCTGCTGCTACACTCGCAAGAGCCAAGCGTAGAACCCATATATATATATATATATTACTATTAATTATGGAGAAAGATTGATGGCCAAGGGTTCTTCGTTCATATTCAGTCTTTTGGGGTGTATCAATGCTGGCAATTCTTTGCCAAAAGCTTTGAGTTGCTTTTTCCGTAGCCATTTGGGCGGTTCCAGAAAGGCACCAAGTAAAGATCAGTGCGAAACCTCTATGATTCCTGTATGATTCCTCATATTGGTCAACAGAAAGGAAAGGTCGCTTTCAGGTGTGTTTAGGCCCTTCAGATCATGTGGATACGATCTCAAAGTGCTTCCAGCTCGGATCTAGCCCCGCCTCGCTCCAGCGGTTCACAGTCACCCGAGCTTCGCCCCATTGACTGGACCTGAGAGCTCATCCGGACTGGGGGTCCGAAATCTCGCTAAACATCAGGGAAAGCAGGCATGGCAATCCTTCGATGTACCTCGCCCTGCCTTCGTGCGCGGCTCCCACGCCATGGGCGACTCGCCCAGCGCGGCGCCCGCGGACGGCGGCGCCGCGGTTGCCACGTGCGGCGGCCGCAGCCAGCGCCGCCCTCGGCGCGTTGGTCTCTCCAGCCGCACGGCGGCCGGCGGCGCCCGGACACCGTGGAACAAGCGGGGTGGAGCTGCCGGAGTTCAGCGACTCGGCATGTCGTAGACCGTTGATAAGGGGGGTTGAGCAAAAAGGAAGGGCTTTGCAATCGCAAAGGCGCAGGATCTCAGTTTTAGGGATTCTTTGCGCATCCAGCGGCGCCAACAAGAATGGACATCCTCCGAGGCAGAATCAGCATAGCACAGGCCACCCAGAGTAGATAGCACAGACGCTGAGAAGTACATATTTATTTGCACACTGTACATGAAAGAGATGAGGCCTGTGAAAGTCCATAATATGTGTTTACACATGTTGAAAGCCAATTCAATTCTGAGGGCCGGGCCCTCTCATGACGTTTCTTCTGACTCCCCTGCAGCTAGTGTAGCTCTTTGTTTCCGGGCTGATGCGTGGTTTTCTTGACTGACGTCAGGTGTGTACGCCGTGGCTGTGCAGGAGGCGGTACCTGATGCAGCGGTATTTGCAGGGCGTTGTGGCGGGGGAGGTTCTTGACACCTGAGGAGTCAAGGAGGACAGGCTGCTTGTTCTGTTGTTTTCTAGGACTCCACGACTCGAAGGACTCGAAGGGCCCAAGTGGTCTTTGGTCTTTGGATGTCTTTGGCCCAGTTAACGTGTTCCAAGAGGCCCCGCTTTTTGGAGCGTCAATGACATCTAGCCCGCTTTTTGGAGCTTCAGCCATTGTCTAGACAAACTCTTTCACCCTTTAACCCCTTTCTTTCACTCCAGGGCTCAGGGCCCAGAAATCCTTTTCTTCCTATTCGCGACCATTTCGATCTATTGCGTTTGCAGCCATCAGGCCCTAATTCTGGGCCCGGGGGCGGGGGTGAAACCCGATGCCGACATGCTTCCAGCACTTCTGTGCCGAATGGCGCCGCGCGCGCCGGGTGGTGCTCCTCCCAGCCCTCGACCTGGAAACCAAGCGTGAGCTCGCCACCGTCCTGGCCAGCGATCTGATCGTGGGCTGCGATGGGCCGCTGGCCGAAAAGTGGCCCGACTGCCAGGGGCTGAGAGGACCAGAGTGGCGTGGCGAGACGGCCACTGGTTCCGGATGGAGGGGTGAGCTGGCCAGGCCGGCACCACAAGATAGTCAGGGTGTTGTTCAATCGAAGGAGGTGGAGGATTTGTAGGAATGCATGCCTTCAGCAGTCGTAGATTGTTCTTTCTATGTTTTTTCTAGCAGCTCAACGGCAGATGTTGGAACTCCTCGCAAAATCAGAAGATCAAAGACGTTTGGTACCCCCAGATCGCATCAGATTGCCAGACCAAGCACATGAGCTTCTCAGGAATGCACCGGAATCCCAGGCCCTACGGCAGAGGAACTCCACAGAACCAGGAGAAAGAGCACACCGGTCGGTTTACATCGGCAGGTTTGCTTCAAGACCTCAAACGAGCCAGGTATAGCATGGCCTTCTGGCATGCCGATTATGAGGAAGCTGGATCGGCACGGCTGTGGCTGGCACAGAACGGCACCATGGTCTCCACCATGGGCAACGACGAGGCGCGGTCAACTCAGCTCAGTTGTCAAGTCAAGATAGCATGTTGATGGGTTTGCTGGAGTTGGTGCACGATGGTTCAAGGTTTCAACAGCATCCCAGCTTCTTTCCTAGAAATGATGGGCATTTGCTGGACTTTCCCCAAAGCCATCGAACACCACTGCTTGGGCTGTGTGTTTGCAAGAGGTGGAGACCAACGACGGGGAGGCGTCCATCGAGGATACAGCGAAGATGGACAAACAACGTGACTACATCGGAAGAGTTGGGGACCGTTTGGGTGGGCCCACCCCTGTCATACCTGGATCTTCCAAGTAACTCTATGCAGAAGATGTGACTTTTTCATCCATTAAACACATAGGCAGAACATACCCACAAGTAGTTGGAAGATCCAAGTATGAGAGGCATACAGTCTAAGACATCGGTTCCTTCATGTTCCTTCCATCCCCTTTTTTTTCTCGGTGGACGCGTGCTGAAAAGCATGGCTCATGTTCCATGTGTCTTGGCGTTGAATCCAATGTGTCTTGGGCTCCTGGTTTGCCCTTTTCCCGCGAAGGGCAGTAATTCTTCACTCGTCCCTCATCGACGTGGCCATAGATCCTCTCTCTCTCTCTCTCTCTTTGGTACTTTACATATTAGGATCACAGAGGATGATTGTTGTGCAATCGTTATGTTTCTCAGTTGTTCCCATCAAAAAAATCGAGCTCATGGTGCGTTTCATGGGTACTTGCCAAGTTTCATACAAGTTCATACAAGTTTCAACTCCCAGTCTTTGGTGCCTAACAGATGGTCTCACACCTGAGGTGTCAAGTCTGGCGGCTTCTCCAGTACCTTGCGGAGCTTCGCGAGGATGCGGAAGCAGCAGGACGGTCCCGCCGGTTGGGCAGGGAGTATGGCTTGGAAGTAGCGAGCAGCGGGGAAGGACCTTTGTTTTCTGGAAAAGAAAAGAAAGAATAACTTCAAGTGATTTCAAGTGACGTGTTCTGTTTTTTTACATTGTTTTTACTTGCAGTGAGGAATTGTGAGGAAAAAAACAGACTAAATACTTGCTATACTTGCAGTGAGTGCTAGAATTGTGAGGAGAAGCGTAACAACAGATTGTTGAGCCACACATCTCATGAGGGGTCCATACTGGACCAAGACTTGTTGCGCCACTCAGTCCTGGAGGCATCCGTTTGTTTGCAACCCCCCCCAGGGGGCTGTTGGCTCCACCATCCGTTGTTTTGCTCCACCAAAAGAGAACATGAGAACCTCGGAACCAACAGAACAATCCCGGAAAGGAACCTGCAATAGCTTCGGCCCGTGGGGCCGTTGGAGTACACACTTTCGATCCCAAGGCATTAGTAGCTCCGAACGCAAAGACACTGCGAACGTAGCAAGGGGCATCGCTACGAACGTCACTCGGAACGAACGGGGCATCGCGATGGCTCGAAGGCCGCGATGCCCCCCTGAAAGGTGATCCCGACGGATGATCCGATTTCACAGCGGGTCAGGCAACACCCTACAGAAAATATAGAAATGGTTTTCCCGAAAGGTGGGAAAAGGATGGAAAAGGCTCTGAAAAGGTTACACTTCCGCAGGTGTCCAATCTGACATGAGATCCCTGAACCCTTCAGTAGGAAAAGATGGCAACAATAGTGTTCTTTCAATCCCTCAGCTCAGGGAGGGGGTGCCTTCCCTCCAGGATTTGGATTCCGTCTCCAGCGTCAGCTGGTCTATATCGCCTCAATCCATCAGCAAGAGCACCGGCCCGGTCACAGCAGACCAGACCATGTTGCCGGGCAGTCTCACTTCGTCTCCGATGCCGGGTGCGTCGCATCACAAGGAGGAGGATGAAAGGTGTCAAGGAAGATGCCAAGGTGTCACCCATCAAACTAGGGAGTAACTATAGGGATTTGCAACCATGAACGCACTTCAGTAAGAAGTGACGATCTTATATAACTATAACGATATATGGGTCTGTTGTTGGGTTGGTGGGTTGTTGGTTGGGTGGGTGGGTGGGTGGGTGGGTTGGTGTGCGTTGGCGCCCTGGTTCCCAAACGAAGGGGCCTTGAATAATTTGATGAGTCAGGCTGAGTCAGGTTGTTCGCACTTGGTTTTATTTCTTACCCTTGCCAAGAACTCCTCATGTCGATTGGACAGTGAGCGCTGTGAAGGCAATCACCTCAGGATGAGGTGTGGAAGCGCCACTCTCTGGTGAGCCCAGTTTTGGAAACTCCAAAGATGGCACGTCGGACACTCATCGTACTGCATTTTGGGCGATATGCCCTATTATGTATCTTCAACATTCCCCCGAAACCCGAACCAAGACAAAAGGTTGGGACCCAGTTAGCATGTGGAGGTCCGGACCAGATTTGGAGAGGACTTAGGTGTCTACTTTGCCTTCTTTGGTATATTTGGTTGGGATCCAGGTCTTGGCGAATGTGTGTGTGTCGATGTCCACGAAGGATGGTCCGGAACTATTTATCCCGTGAGGGATGCGTGCTGCTGACTTTGAGCGGGAAGATGGAAGATTGGGTGGCCCTACTCCACACTCATCCTACTCCATCAGGTGGACTACTCCATCCTCAGAGTCCATAGGTGGACTACTCCATCCCCAAACCCAAGGGGTCCGTCGACCGTCGTCGAACCGCCCCTGCGATGCCGACATCCGAGGCTATTTCGGAATCCAGAACATCCAATGGCTCATTTTCCAGATGAGTGCCACGTGGTCGAGAGGAAACCGGCTCCACCCTGACTAACCTTATATAGGAATTGAAGATTATTGAATTGAATCAGTTATTATAGTCATGTTCAAGTTTGACGCACACCCACTCAGAACTCCTTGCTCAAATCCCAAGCGCTTTTGTGAGCCGTGCCAAACATGTCGACTGGGGATTTGAGGATAGTTCTAGCTTTGTCCGTTGTTTGCGCAATGGGCAAGTACCTTCGAAGTCAGCAAAGGCACCAAGGAGGAGTTTGTGCAGCTGATGCGAAAGAGCTTAATGGCAGAGCAGCTTTATGCGGAAGGAGTGGGGCCGAGTCAGAAGATTGACGACATCCCCATCGCCGGCCCTCATGACGCTGAAGATCTTTATGAAGCTTTGCTCATTCATCAGCAGGTATGCCGGATGACTCTAGGCATCTCGGCGTGAGACGGTGGATGTTTGTCCAAGTGCATTGGCGCCAAGCTAACCCCTGTCCCATTAAGCTGCCATGCAGTGGCTTGCTTTGGGTGCACTAGTTCCAGAGGCATGACTGGCGAGGTGGCAACCAGTGCGTTGTTCGCCCAGGTTCCGTGCTTCAGCTGGGACGAACGATGGATGATTTGGTCAAGAGGTGGATGGTCTTGACCAGGTTCAGGCAACTGATCGAAAGGGACACTGCCACCATCAGCACTTTCATTCAGAATCTCGGCTGAAGCTTCAAGAGATGGAGAGTGGTACCATGTGGTACCCATACGTATAAAGTTATATACAATGATATTACAGGAAGGCTCAGGCGAATGCTAGTTAATCTGTGAGGTTCAAAGAAACGGACACAATATCGTAAGAGCTACACTCACCACTGATCCTTGATGTTTGCCAGCAGAGTTCAGAGTTCAATGTTGTTTTATTTAGTTTTTTCTCACCTCCCCATGCAAAACGGCTCCCAGAACCACCTCGCCTTACGCTATTGCCCTCGTGTGACCAGACCGAGGACTTACTTCATCAGCCCCAAGGTGAAGCACATCGACTCCAACGAGATCCTCAGCATGGTGGTGGTGGTGGTGGTGGTGGTGGTGGTGGTGGTGGTGGTGGTG